CACCAACATGCTTTCTGAGTATGGAAATTTCGAACCTCATAGTTACAAAGAGTCAGTTACTCAGTTTACTATCCTAAATGTTGACGTACTGATGCATATTTAAAATTTTCTTACATATTTACTCGAATTATCTCAAAATGTGCTTGGTGGCACTTGGAAGATTACCTGAATTCACTATTTTTCTTGGGAATATAAAACTTAAAACTTTGAATTCTTAACATTATCGTGCTGTAACGTACTTTTAGCCATCACAATCAACTTTCGTAAAATCATCATGTTAAACAACGGATAAGCTGCAATCTGGCAAATTTTAGAATCATTGTGTCTTGAAAGCGTTTATAGAATTATTGCATCTTGAAGACGTTTTAGGTGCAGCTGTTTGTGTAAGCCTTCATACCTACCAAATCTTGCAATAAAAAATCTGTAATACATTCTTGGTTTTCTGTTGAAGTCAAAGTTGAACATTACGAGAACATGGAAAAGATCTGACTATACAATATCAATAGGTCAACAAAAGAGTTGTGTATTTACTGTTCTTTTTATCCTTTTTTATGCTTTTCTGATTTATCTTTTTTACTGTTCCCCAATGTCACCAATACCCCATTCATTCTACTTGTGGGACTTCTGCAGTTCAATCATACGCTTCGCCGAGCAAAGTTTAGATCCAGAAATGAGAAATTTGGTTTTTAGTCCTCGACTGATGGAGGTATTACTATGTTTTCTCTGATTACTAATTATCACCCTGAAAAACTTGTTGCATTATTTTATATTTAGTCATCAACCATAAAAATTTAGTCCCACTGACCTTGTTTGCCCTGGGCACAGTCAATTGAACTCTTTTTGATGACATTGAGTCTTGATATTTTTCATGCGTTGCATCCAAACTTGCTAGTAGACAAAAAATCCTGGTCATGGTATGAAATTGCACACGAACTTGGTTTAGAAGGTCAGCTTTATGGAAATAATATGTTCTTGTGGAGAATTGTTGTACGGATACATCCTTACAGTATTATGCTCAGTCATACATATCTGGAAAAACAAGTATCATTACGATGTTTTAATTATATGTAGAATAATTATACCTATCGTATGTTGGTTGCACATTCTCTCTCTCTCTCTCTCTCTCTCTCTCTCACTCTCTCTCTCTCTCTCTGAACCGCTGTCATCTCTTTTCTAGTATGGGTTAACCCAAAAGGGTATCCTCCCAAAATAATATTATAGGGCAATGGTCCACCACACAGCCAGTCAGGCTGTAGCTAAATATCCTCCCAAAATAATATTATAGGGCAATGGCCCATCGCTCCTATCAACCTTTTATACTAAAGCAAAATCTTCCTAGCTGACAATTCACCCTAGCATGCTTCGGTTGCTACATGCAAGATTCTGATGCTTTTGGTGCTTCACACTCTGAAACTAAGCTAACTGATATTCTTAATTTACTTATTTCCTAATGCCATTTGATTTGAGGAGGATAAACTTCCCTAATGACTGTTGCTGCAGTAAACATTAGTTACATTTTCTAAATATTTATGATTAAAATCCCTTTATCATTGCATTAATTGTAATTAAAATGTTTTTTTAAAATCCCTTTATCATTACATTAGTTCCCTAACAATTTTAAGGTTTTTTTTTTGTTAGAAATATTTGTTATAATGTTTAATAAAATTAATTTTATTTTCTAAAATACATTTCTAGACTAATAAGTAAAATATGATCACTTATACATTAAAATTATTTTATAACATAATTAAAGTAGGCAAGCAAGATCTATGAATAAAGTATAAGTGATTTCACATGAAAATGAGAATATGTTGATAATATTAAATAAACAGTGACTGGACACAAGTATGATTGACATCATATCTTGGACTATAGTATTTTTATTTATTTAATAGAATTACACATGGTTTGAAGATTCTAGATCATTATAAATACTATAATTTTATATCCTTTTATCTTTTAATGAACTCGTGTAACACACTAGTCCTTCAAGTCCTTAATTGCCACATAAAATGTCAGGATAAATAAATACCGTAAACGAGACTCGTCTTTTTTGAGGATTAATACCATGTTATCCACAAATTGCAAATGGAGATGTTTACCTTGCCTTAACCAATAACTTACCATTCAGCAGTGACTTTGTATTCTCTTTGTCAATCAGTTTACTCAAAGCATCAGTGACAATTATGAAAGAAAGAGATAAAGTAGGTTATTCTGCTGTGCACTCCTAAATCAATCGAACTTATGCCTATCCTCAGTTGATCATAAATAGAAACAAAGTGACACAGGAAAGGCATCTTTAGATCCAATTTCCGCCAGCTAATTTGAACCCTTTTATTTTATGTAGTATAAAATCATGCAAGCCACAGTCAACTTGTTCATTATACACATGGCGAAATCAACATTAAGACCAGCCCTTGTTTCCGAAAAAGTATAAAGAAAAGCAACATAATAAGATGGAAAGAGAATTGCTTAGTGCTTGATTGGGTGGTCTCGAAGCCATTGAGTTTATTTAGCACTTTATCTACTTGAAGAGTTAAGACAAGTCTTATGGAGCCCAAGTTGAATGAAGTTAAAAAGCAGTAAGGATAAGTGAGGTCCAAGAAAGATGAACCAGAGGCATGGCATATCAAAGGGTTAGAACTGATTTACCCCTAACACGGATAGATAAAAGCAAAGATGGAAGTCAAAGCCTCTTTAGTAATGAGTTCCGAGTCTTATATTTTTCTCTGAGTACTCTCTTTTAAAGAGCGAACAAGAAACTGACAAACCTGTTGGTTTCTCACCATCACATAGGAAGGGACAAAAAACACTTGGAAGACGATTAAACTGTTTACTTTAAATTTATTCAAATTGTTGACAAATAACATGCCCACTGTTTATATTTTCTTTTCTTTCTTAATTATTTCCCACTTTCTCTATAGTCTGGGTAATGTCTGTTAAGCATAACTATCTGGTAGTATTTCTTCGTTTGACAATTTAATGAACTGTAGATACCCATTTCCCCGCAATCTCTGAAGTGCCCATCCTAGTTCTTTTATTGAAGAAATACTAACAGAGTACCAACTCCTTGTGATGAAAAGGTGTTTATTGTCCTTATATGATGTCACAAAATTTAATTGGAGTCTATTCTAGGCAGTTGTGTGGTTCCTCGCAAGATGGTCTTCAACATACTTAATGCCACTCGAGAGAAGTGGAGAAAATGGAAGCGGCTTGGAAAACAGAAAACACTCTGCCAACTCGTTGCTTAGTTTCTTTGGAGAGGAAAATCAGGGAAAAGTTGTGCTTGATATCATTATTCGCATCTCTTTGTCCACACTTCTTTCATACCCAGGGGAGAAGGACTTGCAGGTACAAATCTGAAAGGTTGTTTGTATACTTTCTTAAGTGTTATGATTCAGTTCTCAGGATTGTCTTACGAAAAGATAACAAATTGTGCATGTTCAAAGGAAGTTCTTTCGATTTTTGTGTTCCATAACAGGGACTGACATGTTACCAGTTGCTTCATGGACTTGTTAAGCGGAAAGCTGTTATTTCCCACCTTATTACCTTGGTACGTTGCATCTCCTTACATGTGAAGTAGATGATTAGTGTTTCTTTCCCTGCATTTGTTTTACGTATTATGCTTACTCGTACAGTATGATTTTTTTGGTTGTGTAGATTCAAGAAGAGTAGATACTCTGTATTGCTAATTTAAACATCCTCTAAACCAAATTGATGAAAATGAACTTGTTAGTTTACTTTTTCCATTCATATTCCTTCGTGTGGGTTGTTCATGGAGTCTGTCGTAAAGCAAATGTGAAACATAGATAATCGATATTACTAATCAAGAGGATAATTGACGACTTGTGACAAATCGCACCTAGCCTAAAGCTGATACTTTGGGAAGAAACTTCCTCCCTAGTTAAAAGTTGACAATCCATATTCAACAATAGATGAGTTTTTTGATAATACATAGTGACAATATACTTAAATAAATACAGATTCCTAGACAACAGGGTATTCTAACATAATTATTCCGGTTTTGTATTCCTTTTCTCCCTTCCATCAATAAAGTTCAGTTCCATACTAGCATAATTATTATCTCTTTTTCTATATACTGTTCTTTACTTTATTATTATATGCACATCCCAATACCAACACATTCGAATGATAAGGCAATGCCTTCTGTTTTAAATGCATCAAATGATAGAAAGGACCCGCCTGACAGAAGCACATGATAGGTACTCTACTAATCCTCAAAGATGTCGTCTACACGAACCTATGTAATTGAAAAAATCTGGTGAAATTGTTACAAGGACAGTCATGGAGAATATAAGAACTTCTGTAAAATTGTTCATAGTTCTAACTGGCGCCTCCATGGCAAGAGGCGATACGATGTGAAATCGCATTGCCACTGCTGGAAGCCACCCCGTTGCCGAGGCCGGTGCCTCGTGGCTCCGTTGAAAAACCTTGTCCAGATTTATAAGAAGAGCTTTTGAGACGTAGGATTTTAACAATTAGGGAAAGACATTTAATTTCACAACTTGCAATTAGGGATCTCGGCTGATTTATCCCAATTCCGGCCTCCTCACCACCGTTTTGCTGCCGAAATGTTTCTAATAGATCACTCACTGTGCCCAGAGGTTTCACGGGAAAGACGAAGGACACAGAATGTTTCTATATGAAAGCAATTTGGGCCTATTAATTAGGATACATCTTTTCCATGTCACAACTATTTTGAGCCTTAACGTTTCTGGGCCTGAGGCTACTAAACATGTCGTGTTGAATGCGTTCTATTTTCATATTTGTCCCTTTATTTCTAGTCACTGTCAGGCCATAGTCCTATTTTTTGTATAATCTTATTTTTATTTTCAGTTTTCTTTTTCTCTTTTTAAGTTACATTGTTAAAATTTTCTTATAGGAGCAAATCCATGCTATTCCCTGGTTTATGTTTAAGCAGTATCTTTTCTTTTCCTTTTTCTTTTCCTCTGGTTAGCAAAGTTCCCTAGAATATGGTTCTACCATGACTTTTTTATTTTGTTTTTTTCTTTTACCTTTTTAGTTCCAGACCAAGGATAAAAGAATTTGTCTTTTTTTCCTTAGTGCTATTTATTTTCTTATTATTAAGTGTTACTCTTGAAATGGAGGTCAATAACAATCTAGATGCTTATCACTTTTGTCTTTTTGGTTATTTGAATATTTGCTTTGATAAATTTCGTGTTTCTTTATACTTTTCTTGGTGGTGTATGTGCTAAAGACTTGTGTTATGTATGTATGACTTGTGTTTTTGCCTTCTTGGGGATATTTGAGGTTGCTTTTTGTAATTGCATCATCTATATCATTATTTTTATTTTTATTTTTACATTTTGGCGCCTTATGTTGCTGAGGCCTCACCTCTTTCCTAGTGGCCATGTCGTGGGCATATAACCTGGGATCGCCATTCGCCATTTAAAACTATGCTAAATGCTATATTCCAATGCTGATTACTTATTGGACATCTTGACCAAAATATCTTTATTGCTATTTATAATTCTTCATTTCTGGTGCTTGAAACCTCTGATTTATTTTTCAGGATTCATGGCACGACCTTGCAAATGCTTTTGCTAATCAAAGTGTGCTCTTCTCATTAAGTGCTGATCATCAGGTACTAAATTAGAAATGGATTTTTTTTTAACTAGTTTATTATTTTTTATGTGTGAATGCTAACATTAGACATGGGAACTAGAACTTAATTGTCTGATGCTAAGAAGTACCATATCTGCTGTTCTTTGTCCGTCAACTTGCTTTACTTGTTTTTTCTCCAGAAGTTGTATGGTTCCGTATGCTTTGTCTCCATTTATACATAAAAAAAACCATTGTTGCTTTGTTTGGAGTTCATTGGATACTAATGTATGTTTTTGTGTGATGATTCATTACTTCTTTACTGTCTTTTCTTGAGGAACCATATGAATCTTACTCAAGATGCAGAACTTTGATAGGCGCACGTTTAAAGCATGCATGGCCGGTGGTAGGTTGGAGTATTTGTTATTGTCTTACTTTGTCGCATTTAACCATGAGCTGACAGCCTTCAGTTTGCTGTCTATAGCATTAGTTTACTTTGTCTTGTCTTGTGACACCTTGGGGCTTGGGCAGACATAGTCTTTAAATCCTTGTCTATCATTTATTTCATTGTTCTCTTAAGTTGCCTATAATTATGGTTCAAGTTAGATTGGTTTAAGCTAAGTGAGTCTTTCAATACAATGCTGTTTCAACATCTTTTCTGATTTCAGCGTTCGCTGGCCCAGACACTTACTTTGTCAACGTCTGGCATGAAAACATCTGAGGCATCAAATCAGTGAGTTTATCTTTTGTATTCCAATAGTAATATGTTAATAGCACTAATTTACATATTCTGGTTATTTGTAGGTATATAAATAATCTGACAAGCCACATGATATCCTCTTTGGTGGAACTATCTGGAAAACCTGATCTGAAAATCATTGGTCAACAGCCTAACATCATTTTATTGGTAAACTTTGTGCACTATGTTATCAGTATTGTAGGATATATGGAGAACATTACAATTGTTATCACCATGACACATGCTAGGTTAGTTGCCTGTTGGAACGACTTCGTGGAGTTGCCAGAGCATCCGAACCTCGTACGCAGAAGGCAATTTATCAAATGGGATTCTCAGTGATGAACCCCGTTTTGATGTTTCTTCAGATATACAAAGATGAGGTAAATGCATGTCTTTGTTTTGGAAGAATAAATAATTTCCATTTGGATGAGACTTGTCTCAACTGTAATGTAGATAGTTCACATTTGTCTATGAAAGATATATGTGAAGGAATTTTTTCTTTTCTTTTTTTAATTTTTTTTTTATTATTATTTTATTTTTATTTTTTTGTAAGAACGGAAAATCAGATAAATTGTCCAGAAAAACCACAGCTGGGATCCCTCAGCGTGGCTTGGACATTCTATGATTTGGGAAGAGTTGAGCAGAATTATAGTGGGACTTGTAATGTTCACTATGCATGTGGAAGGGTTAATACGTTCTCTGTTTCCTGTTAATGAATACAAATAATTTAGTCATTTCTAGTTATGGATGAAAACTTGGCATTTTATTTTTTTATCTTGTAGCCTTATAACTTATCTTTGTTTATAATGGTGTGAATTCAATATGTATGGCCTGGTCTCTTTAGAAGTGATTGTAACCATACTTATTATTTGATCAGATTCTTACATCGAATTTCTGTTTTTGGAAAATGTTGATATTGGAGCAGAGTTATTAATTTCTCTACTCTGAATCTTTTCTTGGATTAATATCTGATATTATAGCGAATTATTAATTTTTGGTTTTACTTTTTCCCTGTGTAGTCCATAGTTATCTATATTCTACTCAAATTTGTTGCTGATTGGGTGGAAGGCCAAATTATCTACTTAGAGGCTCAAGAAACTGCTGCTGTTGTCGACTTCTGTATGCGCTTGCTTCAGCTTTACTCATCTCACAATATAGGCAAGGTAAATCTTTTGGTCTAGAGAAGAAAGAAAATTGTGAGATTATGAAATATGACGAGTGTCTATATTTGTCAGTGTTGCAAAATTCAGCCTTCGCGACCATGGCGAGAAATATCCAGTTGGAACAAAACCTCACTTTCTTTGTTAGGCGCTGATTATTGAACCCTAGTATTTGTACATATATCAACGCATGCATATCTGCAAACCTACTCATACATTATGGATACTATATGGATACCAAGAAGCTGTCTGTAGCGACACACAGAGGAGGCAAATTGTTTATTTATATTTTATATCATCAAATATTTGAGCATCTGGACAATTGAATTTGTTGCAGGGCATATCCTAGTGATTCATTTGGGTTTGAGAACTGATACGTAATCTAAATCCATAAAAATGTTGCAGGGTAGTTTGAGTTCTTATTATATTAATGCCTGCCATATAATCTAACGTTTTTATGGATTTAGATTTAGTTGAACTCAAATCATTTGATCTACTGGAATAATTAATAACCTGATTGACAGTTGCTTACAATTCTGATATTTCACCGTAAACTGCTAGAATTGACCGGTAATATTTGACTGCTCCAGATTTCAGTTAGCCTTTCAAACACATTACGTGCTGAAGCAGATACAGAGAAGTATAAGGATTTGCGTGCACTCCTGCAGCTTCTATCAAGTCTATGTTCAAAAGATCTTGTAACTCTTTTAACTTTCTTATCTGTAATATTATGTTGTTTAGCCTCCTCCTTTTCCACTCAGGTCATCTTTAATTCCATTGCTGCAATATTCTGTTTTCTTTAGAAACTCATCCTGCAGACTCAAAATATTTGATTATATTTTGGCAAACTATAGGATATTATTCAAAACTGTAATAAAATTTGTGTTTCATGACTTCAAGGTAGTTTTAATGTTTTATGCATGATAAAGCTTTGTCAGGTATACAAATTAAAAATTTAATGATCCTGCGTAGCAGGAATCTAAGTCATGATTCCTTGACAAATTGATTCAAAGACAACATTGAGTCTTCCTTACTATCCGTACTTTTGCCACCTCATGTGGAAAAAAACTCTGCATAAGTCTAATATTATCAATTCTGGTATGTGCACCAAATAATCGATGCAAGCCATATTTGCTAGATTCTTGGTGATGCAGTACAAGCATGCATGCTATTTATTTTGCTTGCATATTTCAATCTTCGTGTCACCAACAGTTTCAATCATTACTTGACCGATTTGACTACTGAATGAAATGCATGTTCTTTAGTTTGTAACAAAAGAAGCATATTGAACTTTGGCAGTTGTAGAGACTCATTTTGGAATATTGTGGTATCATGCATTTCTATGATAACTCTGTTGCTTGCATATCTGAACTGAAGATACTTTTAATAGGTTGACTTTGCATCTGAACCAATTGAGGCCTTTGGTACAAATATTTCTCAGGTATGTTATTAATTGAAAAGTTTATGGTCATGAAAGCAACAAATCATATTTTGCACTTATATAATAAAATCTTATACTGCAGTGGTTCTGATTGTATTTGTTCTGAAGGTAGTATATATGGGACTTCACATAGTCTCTCCTTTGATAACTCTGGACCTGCTGAAATACCCCAAACTGTGCCACGATGTAAGGCTTTTATTGTTATTTGATAAAAGGAGGATAGGATTATTGTCTGAACTAATATGGTTTTTGTTCTTTGACAGTATTTTTCATTGCTGTCACACATGCTGGAGGTTTATCCAGAAATAATTGCACAGTTAAATGTTGAGGCCTTCAGTCACATTCTTGCAACTCTTGAGTTCGGTCTTCATCATCAGGTGAATTATATACCCTAAATAAGATTTTGGTGTTGACATAAGATTGTTTAGTAAGATTTTCTTCTTTTGTAAGTTGATGTGCAGTGGTTCTTCCACTAGCTCATGAATATGACTATAATAAACTAGACCACATATTTCTCAAAGAATAGGACTGTAGACTCCAAGTTGCAGAAGACTATCTTTCTCTAAGCAGTAATATAACTTCCATTGCTTTGACATTAGGATGTTGAAGTTATTGACTTATGTCTAAGAGCTGTGAAAGCACTTGCATCCTACCACTACAAAGATAGAGGTGCTGGTAAAGTTGGTTTAGGATCACATGCTACCAGCTACAAGGGACCTGATGGAAAATTTCATGAAGGCATTCTTAGTCGATTTCTACGCTCATTGCTTCAACTTCTTCTTTTTGAGGACTATAGGTGAGTCCCAGATAATTTATTTGAACCGAATTTGTTCAGGAAACTAGTAACTCTGAACTTGAAATGCAGCGTTGAGTTGCAATTTTTTTTTTTTTGAATGGCATGTATGAATATTCCAATTAAAAAACAATTGCTGCAGTAAATTAAAAAAGAGATAAAACTTAGAATTACAAAGTTGATTGCGAGCTTACTTCAGTTCAGAACTTCAATGGCTATGTTAACTTGACTGCCCTTGTTACATACACTGAAGCATAGCCATGTTGTTTTGGTTTTCAATAACACTAAGTGGTTCTTTGTCTCACTTTATGTTACAGCACGGATCTTGTAGGCTCTGCAGCTGATGCACTCCTTCCACTTATTCTTTGCGAACAAAGTGTTTATCAGGTAGGTGACATATTGTATTTCTTTACTTTAGGCTTTGATTATAGTTTTCTACTTTTATGATGTTACAGACTCTAGTCTTTGCTCGATCTCGATAAAATCGTCCCAATAATTTAATGTAATGTATGCCAAGGCTTGACATTGAGTTAACATTCTCAAAATTCGGGGTATTAAATGTCTTGCAGAGCTTGGTAAATGAGTTGATAAAAGCTCAGGCGAACACAATCTTCAGATCACGGTTAGAAAACGCACTCCAGTCTCTCCTAACTTCAAACAACCTTTCTTCATCACTTGATCGGATAAATTACCAGAGATTCAGGAAAAATCTACACAGTTTTCTAATCGAAGTCCGTGGCTTTCTTCGAATGGTATAAGATGTAGTGGTTTTTGTTTTCCTTTTTTTCATTCTCTGTGATTTGGTGAGTACCTGTCTGAGAGAGGACATATTACTCACCGTTTTTGGTGATGGAACTCTATGTTCTCCGAACATGTATTGGCTTGTGCCCTTAGTGTTAGTATTCTTCATGGATTTGTATTCTTCATGCGTAAATGCACGTGATGCGTAAAACATAAGAGATTTATATGTACGTTAATTTTAAAAATCAAAATTTACCTAATAAAAATGTGATAATTATTATATTAATATTTTTAATTGAAGTCTGAAAAATGAGTTAAAATGAACAACATGAATATATATTTATTTTAGATGGCTATTGGTAGATATAATTTTCTAAATGAAAATTTTGAATTGGTAAATAATATATTTAAATATTGAACATAAACAATTTTTTCTAATACATGTTAAAAGTCAACATTTTATGTCGTCCAATTTTTGAAACAAATTACGTTCATAAATTTAAGGGAGCTGACAAATATCAATTTCATGATACTTACTGCTCTAGTTCTTGTTGCCACCTCTTTTTAGACAATGGCGGTCTCACATCTCAATTTTTAGGATCATAATCCAAACTCTCGCTCTTATAATTATATCATCTCTGCAATTATTTTTTCAATAAAAGTTAAGGAAAACGCTAACTTTTTGTGAATAATTTTCAACAATACACCGTGGTAATTGTTTTAATTTTAAGAAATTAAACATTTTCAATAAAAGTTAAGGAAAACGCTAACTTTTTGTGAATAATTTTCAATACACCGTGGTAATTGTTTTGATTTTAAGAAATTAATAAACATTCTAAATTTTCATTTTACCATCTAAATTATTACTTACCATATATTTTGCAATCACGACGTGTATCATTTGTCTTATTTTAGAAGTGACCCTGTAAACTCTCTTGTTGAGTCATGATATGATGGTTCACGATGATGAGCCTGAAACGGAAGTCCTTTTAATTGATTCCTTAACATCTTAACCAGTCTGGCAAAATTGCTTTTTAGGTCCATTATATTGGTCAAATTCCTCTTTTGGTTCATTAATTCGATACCACATCAAATAATACCATTATGTTAGTACTTTATGGTCCATTTTACTATAATTGGGCTGAGATGGTAATAGGGCCGGATATCTCCATTTCTTATCATTTTTTAATTAATTTTATATTTTCCATGAGATAAGTGCCCATTATTACAAGTTTACTCATCAATAAATTAAAAAAAGAAAAGAAAAAGATTTCTTACCTTTGAAACGTTGTCTTAGGGATAATCAAAAAATACAAATCTAAAAAATTAAAATATCCAAGGAGCATGTTTTCTGTCCAGAAGATAGAATGGAAGGCAGTAGAGACAAAGTGCCACCAGGGCTTCATTTATTAACAACAGGCACATATGGTAGGCTTTACACCTTTTACTTATCTCATTTTAGATTCAATTTAGTTAATTTGAAGATGTAAGTTGGCTCCAATTTCTTATGGGAATTTTTTGTGTGAATTGGATTTTTTTTATTAGTAAGAAATGATTTTTTTTTTTACATGGATGATTGTCTCGTTTCCTGCTTTTAAAAATTTAATTATTCTTTGCGTCCATGTTTGTAAAATTAATTAAAAAATGATAAGAAATGGAGATACCCGGCCCTATTACCATCTCAGCCCGATTATAGTAAAAATGGACCAAAAGTGATAAAAGTACCAACATAATGGTATTATTTGATGTGGTGTCAAATTAATGGACCAAAAAGAGAATTTGACCAATATAATGGACTGAGAAAGCAATTTTGCCTAACCAGTCTTGACGAGTTATTGTTCTCACTAGATTAAGTGTGTGTTTGGAAACACTTTTGAAATGGGCTTCTTGACTTAAAAGCTCATTTGAATGATTTTAGGATGTTTGGTGATTTATATTGAATGCACTTTTGAGAAAAGTCACTTCCCAATAAGTCCATTTTGGAGAAGTGGGAATTAGCTACTTCTGAAACCTACATCTGTTAATTATTTACTCCATTTTGAGTTGCATAAGATAAATTGTTTTCTTTATATAACATATTATTTGATTTTCTTTTTTATGCTTGTTGATGAAGATATGGAACTTGATCTAAATGCAAATTTGTTTAAGAATATTGTGAAACCCAAGGCTGTTTGGAATGGTGATGCTCACAAAGTGTTTGTTGAATTATGTTGTGAGCAAATGTCCAAAGGGAGGACATAAAAATTGGTCTAATATATTTTGCATAATTTTGTTTCTTTTAAATCAATAATCATATAACATTATATGGTTAAATAATGACATAAAAAAATATATTTTGAATATCATTTTGATAAAGGTAAAAAAATATGAAAAACTTAATTATTAATATATTTAAATGGTTCATAGATAATATATATGTCCAAGATCACCATAATATAATATTAAATCATATGTAGTAGGTAGGAAATTTTTATGTGTAAAAAAATATTATTAATTAGTAACTAAAGCACTTATTTAAAATGAAATTCACCAAACATATGTAAAAGTTGTGTAAGGATTTTTGTAAATGCACTTAATGAAAAGTATATTTTTAAGATGGACTTTTGTAGAATAAGTGCTCCCAAACAAGCCCTAAGTCAAGAAGCAGAATAAGTGAGACTCGAAATAGGCTTTCTTCTCGGTGACCAAGCCAAGCTTTAAGCATTTCCCTAACCTCTCCCAATGTAGACTTTAGATTTTGAACCTTTGGAGCCAGATAAATCGACATGTTCAGTTTAAAATAAATGCCTAATTAGGGCAGAGCCGCAGAAGCCAAAATTAAACCTTCTTACGTTATAAAGAGGAACACAAGGCTTAATATTTAGGCGTTAAGTGATAAGATTATCCTACTAATTAATTGCAAAGATTTACTTCAATGAAAACTCTAGCTTGAAATCGTAAATCAGGTTGAGTATAATAAAATATGTACAAGGGAAACGGAACATCAATACAAAACATCTAACAGAGTTAACAAAATTTGAATTTCACATTGATGTTCAATCTCACGACTGCTTCTTCGTTAAATAGTGGCAATATAATTTTTCGTTATTGGAATTGTGAAATTATACTTGCAACTATATGTGCTATTCTGACGTTGAATTTTGTTTAGTATTGGTGGGAAAATCACAAGCACTTCTGATATAGACTTAGCTCGGCTGGACCGGGACTAATACCTCGGAATTGAGTAGGTCGACCTCATAGATAACCCAAGTTGGCTTAACCAAATTGAAAAGACCTACTTTGCCAAATTCAACTTAAGGGCTAGGGAGCTACTCAGCTCGGTCATATTTGAGTCAAGTTGTTGGACCATAAGGTTTGATCGAGTTGCTCAACTCGGTTATACTTAGGATGACCTATTTGATCATGAGGAGTTGGAAAACAGATTGGACACACACGAGCTGATAACTTAAGTGACCTATGAACCGCAGTAGGACCTAAGTAGGAAGGAACCTACAAACACAATGTAAACCTAATAGTGTGAGTACAATCAGATTATATTATTTTATTCGATCCTTATCTTATTATATTCATCCTTATCTAATTGTATCTGAATACAATCAGATTGTATTCACACAATCAGGAAGCTCTCGGGCCGCAAGAATTCTTGGGCACCAAGGTACACACTGTATATATAAAGGGATAAGGTATAGCTGAAGGAATCTCTTCTCTCTCTGATATCTGAATATTCTGGATATTATTTACCATCTTCTTCCCCTTTTCGATCACTAACTTGGGCGTCAAAGTACTTACATGGGGAGCTCCTCCTGACCCTTGTTTTGCAGGTTATCAGTTATACTCGGACGGTCGAAGGTTTTCAGTTGTCGATTCCGGTAGTCTCAGTCCGATACATGACGTACGTCTTAACTGGAAAGAGTTTACAATTGCACATTTTCTGGAAGCAAAGGTACACTAAAAGGTTTAAGACGATACAAAAAACTATTTTCCCCTTTTAGTGGTGACATGACTAAAAAACTATACTTCGTGGTGACATGACTTCCCATGAAAGAAAACTAAGTATATCTTATCTTGATTATTTTTCTTGGTTTTATGAAATCTATCCTATGAGTCGAGGCAACTCATATTGAGGGGAAAATAGTTTTTTTGTTCCTTAAAAGACCCTATTTTTGTTTTCGGTCCCAAAAAGGTCTACTTTTGGAAATGGTCTCTCAAAATGAAACAAATTAGCTTTTTGTTCATATCACCGCCTGCAGCATGTTAGTGTAACCGGCTAGCCTACGTGTAAATATCATTTAAGTTATTTATTTTGATGAGTGTAACGCTGACGCTTAGGTGGCCGCTTAAGTCGCAAAATTACAAAAAAATTGCAAGTGAAGGATTCGAACATGGTATGTGTTGCAATTCAAGGAGTCAATGAGCAACTTAATCTAACACATCTTATGTTAATTACTCGACTTCAATCTTATATGCATATNCGTATTATCAAAATACGTTTTATTTATTAATTTTTTTTTTCAAACATATTATTGGAATACGTTTTATACTGTTTTTCAATTGTTTAAAAAATTACATTTTACAAATAAAATTTTAAAACGTATTACCAAAATACTTTTTAAAAAAAAATAATTAAAAAAACATATTATGAGAATACGTGTTTTTTATTTTTATCCGCAATTTTTTTTCTTTTTATTTTTGTCCAGTTATTTTTTTTTTTATATATATATATAAACTACCCTACTATCGAATCTCAAAAGATATACGTAAGAAATAAAAAATAAAATATTCTTATATTTTTTTAAAGTAATGTCACCAAAAACCATATATGATGGCCATTTTTATTTTTGGTTGAAAATGTGATGTTATTAATAAATGTCCGAATTTATGGTATAAAGTGCGCGTTTTATTTGAGATATATGATGGTCATTTCTATTTTTGCTGGGAAATGTGTTGTTATTAATAAATATCCGAATTTATGGTATAAAGTGGCAGTTTTATTTTGGTATGAAATATCTCAATTAAAATATTAGGAATTTTATTTGGTATATTTGAAAATTTTAAAATTAAAAGAAAAAAAGGGTATGAATTTTATTTGGTAAAAGTATAAAAGTCGAATTTTAGGTTGGTTTCTTATACAACTAAGGTGATATGATTCTCAAATTTTAGCATATTTTCTTGCCAAATGATATTAATGATACTTAAAAAATTGATATGTATTATTCTAGAAAATCAAAAAGATTTTTTTCCCGGTATATCGGTGCAACTTGATTCAACTGGTTCAGCAACTTCTTTAC